CGGTCAGTGAATGAGCATGGCTCTGCGCGACTGGTACGCCGATCGGGAGCTGCTCCTAACGGGAGTGACCAGTGATGTGGGACGAGCACTACTCGAGAAGATTCTCCGTTCGTTTCCTAACGTCAAGGTGTACGTGATCGTTCGGCCACGACATGGCTTCAACAAAGACAACAGGATCAAGAACATCTTCCTGTCACCTCGGTACGAATCGCAATTCTCCCTTTAAATCCAAGCCTGAAGTCGAGATCGCTGTTGTCGTTCCAACTGTCAAGACACTGCTGTCGAATTATTTTCCTGAGAATTGGAAAGTTTTCTTAACACTTAAAGCGCCGCAATATTTACGAGTTTTGCAGAAACATGCACTTTTACAGAATAAAGGAAGATAACTCTTGTAAAGCAGAAAATTTCTATTGAAAAATTTTGCACAGTGCTTGTTACAGGCACAGCGACGATTTTTAACGACATAAACGTTGAACCACTGGCTGTTCAAGAGGTACATTGTTTTCTGCACAAACGTGTAAAAACGCTGGTCCACGTATTACGCCTTAAAGCGGGTTCGGCGCTTGAAATGTTAATTGAACTTCCTGTACGCACTTCCTGTACAGAGGTTTCTTTCAGCGTCATTTTACATTCCTATCGAAAGATGCCTTTGTCATTTTCAAATCGAGCACGAAATTTTGCAATCGATACTAATTACTTGGACTGACATTTATAATTACAGCGACTCCCACTAATACTCGGACACTCTTTAGAACGGTACAACTCTTAAAATTGGACCTAACGACTTGAGTTTTTTTCAGAAGTTAGAAAGATTAGCATACTAGAGAAAGCGCGCGGATACCTAAGGGTGCCGTAAACTAAGCACTTTCCCAGGACAGTCGGACTAGGAGGCTCTAACGGTTTTTCGGAGCGGCACTTTGGTTATAGCCTTTGATTAACAGCTCACACTGTGTTCTGTTTTTTTTAAGTATACCGGCAGTCACGTGTGCAAAAAATTGCAACTTGACGGAATCGCGAAGAAAATTGTAAAGGCCACTGTTTACAACATTTTTATCCGAGCTTGCAATGAAAATTTAAAAAATACGTTTCGCAGATTTACAACTGATAAATCTGAAGATTCTTACACATTTCGATGCCTGTCGCTCGTTTCTCCATCGACCGATTTCGATGGAATTTTCAGACAAGCTCAGACAAAAATGTTGTAAACAGTGACCTTTACAATTTTCTTCCCGATTCCCACAAATTGCAATTTTTTCCAAACTGTTGCACGCGTCATCTAGTACACTAATCGTTCTAGCTTCTGAAAAAAACTCAAGTCGCTCGTCCCAATTTCAAAAAAGTTACAATGTCCTCAATAGTGTCCGAATATCAATGGGAGTCACTGTTTCACAAACTTGACTCGTGGTCAACACCGTTTCTTTGGTCGTTGCAGTTGACCTCGAGAACTTATCGATATTCGAAATATTCCAAAAGAAGAAACAGTGACATCACTCGAGCCACTTTCACAAACTCGCCGATACACGTTACAGCAATTTACAGTGGTCAAGTTTGGTTCGTTTAATCCATGTGAGAATTAGTTCGTGGCAATAACGGGTGGAAATTTACAGGGATTTCTAGGTCCGGCAAAGACCTGTTTACTATTACACGTATAACAGAATCAACAATGTTGAAATTTGCTATTGTAAACAGTTACGAAGCGAAAATTCGGCGTGTGTGCCTGATAAATCCTTGCAAACGGTCCTGCTGGACGCCGTGGACAGTCGTGGCCATTAACCATTTCCTTTTTCTCGCCGTTTCCTATCCTTGAGGAGGTATTCTAGTCTAGAGTGCCATTTTTTAGTCCTTCTTAGGGATTTTTTTGTGAGGAAAGTGTAAGTTTCTCGGTATCGGCATTTTGCATACATATTTATTCATGTTTTAAGAAAGTTGACAATTTTTCTCAAGTGAAAATAATCGAAACTGTCTGAATGATACATCATTCAGTGCGGTCCCTTTAAAAAAAAGTGTCCTACTGGCTGACACGATTCCGCCCATTCTGTTTATCCGAAATGAAAAGACCACAAGGATTCTTGATTAGTACGAATGTGATTACGGTGTGAACCAGAATGAAAAGAAAATAGTGAAAATTTACAAAATGACGGCACTTTGAATTTTGTGCGTCGATTTCTTCGACTTTTTTTCGTCTTTCGGAGGCTCTAAAACTCGGAAAAATATATATTTTGGCATAATTCTGGTTCAGACGATAACGGCACATCCACCAAAGGTGCGTGTAAAATTTCGAGTCAATCGGACAACTAGAACTCGAACTTCGACAGTTACACTTCTGCAAATGTCTACTTCCAGAAAATGTAAGAAAAAGAAATGGATTTTTTTGAAAAGTCTAGACTAGAATAGCCCCTTAAAAAAGGAGCGTTTTACTCGCCGTTCAGCAATGGTCGAGGCTATTATTCGTGCAGTAAACACCGTAAATACCATCATCGTCGATACTGTGCATTTGCAAAAGGTGGAAAGCGCGAATAAAGCTCGCCTGATAATTAAGAAACAGAACCAGAGAGAGAACTGTGTTCGTTTGGGAGCGTACGACTGAATTTCGGCATTTTATTAATTCACGAAGATTGTTTCGCGGGGGAATGATTTTTAATTAGGCGTACGAACGAAGATAATAGGCTCGCCTACGTTTCTCATTCGGCGAATCCTTCGCTCGTTAGGTACATATTACACTGCATATTCGTTAGATATTGCGTCTGACTTTAATCAGACATTCGTTAGATATTGCTGCCTTCCATTCTAATCAAGGGTTCATTAGACAGAGCAGCGGCGTGAATTAGCTTTTCATTGCGAATTCACCGGATGCTGCGCGAACCGTGTCAATTTGTTTAGTCGTTTCAGATAGAGTATCGCGCGGAGGAATCGAAATAGACGACACGATACACGAAATAAATTGCGGTTTTCTGTTGTCATATTTGAAATTTACGTTTATCAAGTAATATACCATTTGAACCATTTGACACACTTTTCTTTTTCACCGTCGTTTGTTCCGAGTATAACTTAAAAACGTAACAACGGACAACAGGCAAATTCGTACCATATTTTTCTACGAATTTAAATTAGGACGTAAAGCCCCGGAAACCGGCCGAAATATCGGTCGTGTATTCGGTGAAAGCACAACTAACGATTATAACGCGTAAACAGTTATTTGTTAAAGAAGCAAGTTTGGTAAATCGTAAGGGAGCAATATTCCTACGCGATAACGCGTTATGAAACATTAAAACACCCTCCTTATTTTTTTAAACATTTCGATAACTCTTTGCGAGAAAAAATCTTTCGGAGTTTATTCATTCTACAACTCCTGATTTTTATTGTAACGGAATAGGAACTCTTGCAAAACGTTGGAAAAAATGTACAGAATCTAATGGAAATCATTTCCGCAATTTATTTCCGGACAACCTAATGGAAACCAGTGCTTGGATAAATAACGATAATCTCGCGGATAATTAGATCGTCGGAGGAATAAAAAGTTGGACAGTTAAACGTAATTAAACGAGCGATATATTCCGTCACAAATGTCACTCTGACCCCGATATTAAAATTCAAACACTCTTCGCTACTCTGACCCTTTCCTAATAGCTTCGCAATTAGCCGACTAGTAATTGTGTCGCTGCTTGACGCGTGAGACGATTCGGAAGTTAACGTACAGGAATCCTCGAGAAATATGTAAATTCTTCAAGAACCTTTTACCTTATGCTAGGGATTGGGTTTACGACATGGACGCCTGTTTACGCTATTTTTGAATGCGCCCCTTTTTTCTTCGCGTTAATTAATTTTTCTTTCAAATTGGCCACGAAGCCCAGGAAGCGTTTTATGGCTGCAGAAAAATAAATTTTCTGCGGGCCACATACCTTCCCGGTGCCCACTCGTGAACATTCAATAGACGTCTCCCTGACCGCCCAAAGTCCCGTTACGCGCGGGCTACCCCTTGGGCCTCACTCGCCCGCCATCGTGACACACCGCCAACTTGGAAATTCCAGGGTGGGCGGCATGCTCGCGGGCCATGGAGGACCGTCCAAGGGGGTAGACCCGTTCCCATACACATCAGATCGAAAAGGGAAAATAGACAAACACCACATAAACTACCACTCTTCAAAATAAAGTTTTTTTCTTTTAACATAATAAAATACGTGCAACCTCTACGAACCTCGCACGAACACTCGAACATACCGCTTGTTCGAAGCGCACGACGCAGCACCTTAAACAAACACTAAACTCGACATTTAAACGAAAATTGTTGTAGAATGACACGATAAAGTGTTAACGATCGACCGACATTGAAAACAGCCTGTGAACACTTTCTCGAGACACACGCGAGGTAGACTTGACACGTTACCTCACAGTTGACCGAAGGAATAAACAACAAGCAGCGTATTTGCTCCTTCTTTGTCACCTTTCGACGGTCTAATTGAAGAACACAGCGCGGCAGCATGAAAGAACCACTCAAACTCACTCGGGGTATTCCCAGGATCGGGGAAATTTATCGACGCGACGCGGCGATCGTAAGCTGCATTGGGCGCACACGCGTGCGATGCGGTTTAAATTTCAGAAATTAAAATCCGCAGAGCGGTACTCCCCGGAGAAATTCCCTCGCTCGCTTCCTTCCGGCCGTAGAAGAGCACCGCCGACCCTGGTTAATAAAGCGATGCGAATTATGGCAGCTATATACCATTTCGAACTTTTCGTACTTCACGGCGATCGTTCCTTTTCGGGGAAATGGCTGAACGCTGGGAAAATTCATCTATCGTATTGCGAGGAGACGACGAACTGTCGATACGATTGCATAGTTGTGTATGCGCGATGTGACGTTGAAAAATTGCAATTAATACTAACCGTGTCGGTTTCAAAATTTCATTTAAACCATGCACCTGTTTTGAAATGAAAATATGTCATTTTTCCGAAGGCTAGTTTCTGCGTTGCCTCCTATATTAAATTGACAATCACTCTTACAACTGGTCATTTGACCGGCTGCGGTAAAAATAAGTATACATCAAGTGCTGGTACGGTTAGTGTTAAATACAGGAGAACAATCGAAACCTAAGCTCGACAAACATCAAACATACGTACACGTCTGAAATAATATTCACGTAACCCAATTTATCGTCGTCCATAACACAAGATTGCCTCCGCGATGTCGCTAAACACACCGTCCATTCATCCGTAACGTATTAGCCCTCGGAAGGCGGATGGTGAAGCCGGAGCTTGTAATAACTGTTACGATTTGCGTTGACGCAAGGTTCTCCTTGTTACCACAATTTGTTCGATGAATTTCTTAGACAAAAGTTACGAACAGTTACGTCGTATTCCGTGTACTAATCGCTTATTAAGTGCAAGTACCGCGGAACGGAGACACTAAAGAATATCAGGGTTTGGTATACGAACGAGGTCGAGGATGAGACGAATCGAAGACCAACACTTGGCCTTTCGAAATCGTTCGATAATTCTCGTCGACGTCGAATTAGACGATCAAACGAATCCTGGCTAGAGTCCAGTTGGACAAGCAACAACTTGGTCGTTTCTTTCTGTTGCAGATTCGAGAGATTGCGGCACGAGGTCCCCGACGCTATTTCCCGGGTGAAGGTGTTGCAGGGTAACGTGCTGTACGATGGACTGGGCACGGCCAAGGCGGACCGGGAACGGTTGGGGAAGGTGAGCGTGGTCCTGCACGCGGCCGGCCCAAGCGACGGTGTTCTACGTTTCTGCCAAGAATTGCCGCGGCTGCAAGCTGTGGTGGTGGTCTCGAGCATCTTCCGACACGCGTCCGACGGTGAAATCAGCGAGTCAGCGATGGAAAAGGAAGTTGTACTCGAGGGACCTGTGGCTCTGGTGCGGGTTCCGTTGGTAGGGTCGGCTGTGCGCGAGCCTATGCCTGGCTTCGTGGACGTCTTCAAAGGACCGACCGCCCTGATGGTCGGAGCGGGCCTCGCCCGCGGCAACTCAGAGTTTCAAGCGGAAATCATTCCGATCGACCTGGCGGTCAACACCCTCATCGCCGTTGCTTGGGAACGAGCCACCGCGTAAGTACCCTTTTCCTCCTTCTCCACCTCTCTCGCCACCTTTACCGGACCGATATCATTTCGATTAGACGTTCTTGCTCTCAATTCATTTCTGACTACTGGACTGCCCAGTTTTATGCAAAGTCCTTTCAGGATCTTTTCAGGATCTTTTCAGGATGTAGCGAAAGGGTGAAATTTCGGTAGGTGCTATCCATATTTTGTGGCGCATTTTTTCTGTGCAATTTTGCATTCAATTTCCTATCGATGCATGGAAATACGCAGTGTAGTGGTAATTATGGAACTG